GAAACTATGAAACTATCCTGCTGCTGAGCTTTTTACTTCGTAGCAGAGAACACATAGATGCTGCCCTAGCTGGCTGGGGCACAAGGGTGCTTTAGTGAGGGCAAAGGCTGTCTGCTGGCTAGCCCCACACTGGAGCACCCCCATGCCCCAGCCAGCCCCTCCACAGCACATTATGCAGTCCCAGATGCACATTCAAATGGTGCACCCAGAAGCAATAAGCTCCAGAGTTTGCTTTCCATGCACTGCATGTGTAGACATGTCCACTAAACTTGCTTGGGCTATTGACAATGGATTCTTTCTCAACTTTACTGGATGAGAGGAATTTGAGAGGAACTGAAGAATCCCCAAGTGATCAGGAGCGTACTTGTTACTGCTTCTACCACCATGCAAATCAATCTGTAGAACATGCTTTGTTTCAATACTGTGCCCCTCTTTGAAGCATGAGCTTGAGTTTGGGAGTGTGGAGAAGTGTGCTTGCACCTGCTGCTCTGAATTTGAGAACATACTGGCCAAGCCCCTCCTCTTGTTCTGCCTGATCATCTTCCTAGCTTTCACCTGGTTTGGGGATGAGTGACCCCAATAGTAGACTGTTCTCAGTGGTGTTAGATGACAGAACAAGGAGCAATGGTATCAAGTTGCAGCAAGGGAAATTTGGGTTAGATAGCAGGAAAAACTTTCTCACTAGGCGGGTAGCAAAGCACTGGAACAGGTTACCCAAAGAGGTTTTGGGTTCTCCTTTTGGAGGCTTTTAAAACCCAGGCAAAGTCATGGCTAGGATGATCTAGTTGGAGATGGTTCTGCTTTGAGCAGGGGGTTGGACTAGATCTCCTGAGGTCCCTTCCAACCCTAACTTTCTATGATACTCTCAATGCTGCTACCTGCCTACAGAGGTCAAATGTTTACAAAAAAGTGCAAGAGATGAGGAGAGAAACCCAAAAACATTGCTAGGAGAATTAACTGAAGCATAGGAATGTTACAATGAGCAAAACTGAAACCAGAGTAAGACTTCCTTGGATGAAATTTCCAGCGGAAAATTTCACTCGACCGTCAACTGCTGGAAAGACTTTTCCCATTCTGTCAAGGTAACGTGAGACTACATCAATGTCGAAATCACCTAGAGGAAAGAAAATTGTATGCAAGTTGTTATTGTATGCAACTGTATGTTGTTATAAAGCTAGTGCTACAGCTGCTATTAATCTTTGAGATGCTACTACTTTTAAATGCATGTTCCACTTGGGGAAAAAAAAGTAGAAAGTGTGTTCTTCCTGTTCAGGAGAAGGCACAATTCTATGAATTGGAGAGATTGGGGGGGGAGGAAGGGGGAAAGCTACTCACATGCCCTCCATGGAGAGGAATAGTCAGTCTTTTCATGTTGTCTGTGTCTGTTGCTGTCAACTTGCCTTTCACTAGATGAAGACATTCTCTTTCCATCAGTTTCCTTGGTTTAGCTGATGGACATGGACTAATGGACACATGGAGCAGTTTGAAAGGGGAGAGGGACCTGCTGCACCAGACTGCGCAGCACCTGTTATGCAATGGCATCTGCAGGAGCCTGCAGCAATGCAAGTGAGCAAAACTCTCCCAGCTTTAACCCTGCTTCATCCAGGGCTAAAGTAGGATGACTGAATTCATGTGTATTGTTGCAGGCTTGTACACACAAGTGTTGGAGCACAACAGCAGCTGCATGACAATTATGTAAAACATTTACCCAATGGTAGATAAAGGACTGGTGGGTTGGCTTACTCTGAAAAAGGCTCATCAATATCTCATTTGAGAAGGGAAAAGACAGAGCGGCAGGGCTGAAAGGGACCTCCAGAGGTCATGTAGTCCAACCCCCTGCTTGAGGCAACATAAGCCCTATCCAAACCATCCTCTACAATCCATGATTTAAGCTGAGGTTCCTAGAAGTAACCGCAGACCAGCAGTGACCAGCATACTGCAGGCAGGCAGCCAACTTTTTTTTTTAAATACTGAATCCTGTACTGAGTACAGTATAAAATGGGTTGGCTGCCAGGCTACAGTATGCCAGTCCCTGGTCATTTCTGGTCTGGCAGCCAGCCCTCCTGCAGATTGGCAGCTGACCCTGTGTGGCCCAGGGGTTGGGAACCCTGATCTAAGCTCTATGCAATAATACTGTCCATTCAGATACAACAGATGTAACATCTTAACTGGCCAGTGGTAAAGCAGGGGACCCATGGCAGCCAATGCCCCGCTTCTATCAAATGTCAATATATGCTCACAAGATTCCAGGAAGGGGGCTGTGCCCCCACTACAGAGGGAGGCAAAACCCCCACAGTCCATACAGAGGCAGGCAGAGCCTTCTGCAGTTCATACCAATTTGACCATGGGGTAACATTCCTTCCTAATTCCAAATATGGTGATTGGTCTGATACTGAGTGGATGGGCAAGACCCTCTAGCCAGGGACTTTGGGCTCTGGTCCAAGCAGAAGCATTGGTGCACCACAGTCAAAATCCCTAGCCTTGGCTGTAGCCAACACCTGATGCCTTTGAGGGCAGCTTAAAAACTCTCAAATGCATGTTGCAGAAGGCTGGGGGAGGGCAACCAGCAAAGCCCAGAAGCATGGGAAATGCCATTGTAGAATATAGGCATAGTTATGCCTAGATCATCCCTGATCAAAAGCTATCCAATCTCTCCTTGAACACCTCCAGTGATGGAGAGTCCATAACTGCCCTGAGCTATTCCATTGCCTCACTATTCCAGCAGCAAAGAGTTTTTTTCTGGATAGCCAATCTAAACTTACTTTGCTGCTATATAAAAGCATTAGGCTACATCCTCTTCTCTGCAGCAAGAGAGAAATGGTGTTGTCCCTCTTCAAGGCAACTTTCAGGTATTTCAAGACTGCCATCATGCCCGCTCTTGAGCACCTTTTCTACATGCTGAGCATGCCTAGGTCCTTCAGCGTCTCCTTATATGACTTGCTTTTCAAGCCCTTTAATTATTTTTGCCTACCTCCTAGGTCTTCACCTTCTCCACATCCTTTTTAAAATGTGGAGCCCAGAACTACACACCATGCTCCAGATAAGAGGGCTCTAACCAGTGCTGAGTAGAGGCACTCTCACCTCCAATGTCTTGCACCTAATGCTTCTATTGATGCAGCCCAAAACTGCAGATTCATTGAGTCTGTAATCTATTAAGACTCCCAAGTCCTTTTCCATAGTGCTGCTACCTAATTAGGTGTCACCCATTTTATATTTATGTTCTTGATTTATTTCTCCTGAGGTGTAGCACCTTGCATTTGTCCATACTGAACTTCATCATGTTAGCTCTACCTCAGCTATTCTAACATGTCAAAATCCTTCTGAATTACACTTGCATTCTTCCAATGTGTTCACAGTCCTTCTCAGTTTCATGTTATTTGCAAACTTGATCAAGAAGCTTTCTATGTCAGTATCCAAATCATTAATAAATGCATTGAATAGCATTAGGCCCAGGACTGACCCTTGTGGGACTCCACTCAAAATCTGCTATTCTGCTATGGTCCTGTTAATAAATACCCTTTGCTTGTGGCTATTGAACCAGTTATTTATCCATCTTGTAGTAGTTTTATCCAGCCCACATTTCTCAAATTTGTTTATGAGAAAGTTGTGCAAGACCTTGTCAAAAGCCTTGCTGAAGTCCAAATATGCTATATCCACAGTATACCCTTAATCCACATAACTAGTTACATTATCAAAGAAGGAGATCAAGTTTGTTTGACAAGATTTGTTCTTTTATAAATCCATGCTGGCTGCTTGTGATAAGCCTTTTCTCTTCTAGGTGCTTGCAAATGGCCTTCCTTAGGATATGCTCTAGTAACTTCTCAGGTGTTGAGGTGAGGCTAACTGGTCTGCAGTTTCCTGGCTGCTCCTCCTTGCCATTTTTGTTAGAGGAGAACTACATTAGCCCTTTTTCAGTCTTCTGGTACCTGGCCCATCTCCCACAACTTCATGAAGATCATTACCAAGGGCTGATATGTCCTCTGCCACTTTCCTCAGTGCCATGGGATGAAGCTCATCTGACCCTGCTGACTTGAATTCATTCAGACCCAACAAAAACTCTGACAGTGTCTTTTGTTATCTCATCTCTCAGTTTGCCCCCTTCCTTATCCAGATAATCTGTTTTAGGTGTATAGCTACAGCTTAATATTTTTTGTGAAGCCTGAAGCAAAATAGCTGTTGAGTGCATCTGCCTTCTTTATGTCTTCTGTTAGGAGTTTCCCATGGCTTGTTAAGAGTGGACCCACAGCTTCCTTTATGGGCAGCTAGTGACTTCCAAGTCACGGGGGGCATTTGCCCCCTCTGACACGAGTCAGTGATTGATTGTGCTGCCTGGGGGGTGGTGCAGGGAGCGGTCCCTGGCGGCCAATCTCACTCACCAAAAGGCAGCTGCACTGCTTCCGGAAGTCCTGCAGCCACTTCTGGAAGCAGTGTGGCTGCTTTTGCTGGCAGCCCCGCTCCCTTGTCAGTGCTCGCAGGGGCACCAGTACTCCTGGCTGCCCCACTGCCTGCCACCTAAACAGGGAGCATGGCCTGACAGGGAATGCACCAGCACACTCAGGGGGTGCACACCCCCCCCCACGTGTTGCCACTGGTATCCTTAGTGTTTCTTTTCTGGTCGACATATAAAACCCCTTGTTGTCCTTAACCTCCTTTACCAGGTGCACATCATTCTTTAGCTTTGCCTTCCTGATTTTGTCCCTGAAGGTTCTTGCTTTTTCATAGTGTGCGTCCTTGGTGACCTGTCCATTTCCTCATTGCTTGTATGCTTTTCTTTTGCCTTTGAGGCATTTCAGAAGCTTTTTGTGCAGCCACATTGGTCTCTTGCCATCCTTCTTGTGTTCCCATTTTGTGGGCAGTCTCTTGTTGGGCTTCTAATGCGTTTAGAAGCACCCAGCCCTCCTAGGTGCCATTATCATTCAATCTATCCTTCTATGACACCATGACTAACTTACTGAGTCAAATTAAATCCACGTTTTTTAAATCTAGTGTCCTAATTTTGCTGACCTCATGCTCTCCCTGCTCAGGATCTGGAATTCTATCATATTGTGATAGCTTCCTCCCAAGTTACCCATCACCTTCACATCCTCCACTTCTTCCTTGTTGGTCTGCACAAGATCCAAGACAGATCTTGTTGTAAACCCTAGTTGTACCTTCCACTTTCTGGAGCAGGAAGTTCTCTTCCACACAAGATGGGAACTGGCTTGACATTTTGTGTTTGGTTGAATTGTTCTTTAGCAGATGTCCACAAAACTGAAGTCTCCCATCAGTACCATCCCACAGCTTTTGGATAGATTTGTCACTGGCTTGGAGTGCCTCATTTACCTCTTCCTGATTTAGTGGCCTCTAATAAATTCCCACCATTATACTGACACTGTATCTTTCATCTGCTAAGCCACAAGAATTTCTGCTGCCTGGTGAACGTTTCAGCACCTTGGCTGCATGTACTTGGTTATCAAGACTCTTCTTTTAGATGGTAGAAGGTTTGAAGTGTAAATGAAAGCTGTCACTTCTTTTTGATTCATTACTAATGCCCAGAACATGTATGTGCCCCTTGATCATGCTTCTGATCCATTCCTTGAAATGGTACCCTCTTCCCTGACAAAGTGGTCCTTGTTTTGTATTGGTGTATGCTGTTTCACATGGCCACAAAATCTCATAGTAAGGAGGGCAGACTCCAGTGGCAATCACAGATGCCCTGTGTGTGTCTGGGTATCGGACCCAACTTTTGAGAGATGGTAGGACGTTGTCTTGGGTTGTGTCAGGGTTAACAGTAGTTTTACTAAGAGGTTAGATTATGGATTTGTATAGGATGGTTTGGGTAGGGATGATCCTGCCCCAGGCAGGGGGTTGGCCTAAATGACCTTTGGAAGTCCCGTCCAACCGTACTTCCCTGATTTCTCTGTGATGCTGGGCTTAAAGCAAGACCATTAACTGAGCATTCAGAGACTGGAAACAAGTTACATTAATTTCTTTTGAGATGGAAGAGGGTCTTAAAAAGCTTCTAATATTAATATTTGGGTGATTTTTATTAATATCTACTACACTGCTATCATGGAGCCTCCTGTACTTACCACGACTATGGTTCAGTGATTTCTCTTTCAGCATATTGTAACCATCTCCTCCCTGATACAGAAATGAAGGAAGAATCACTGTATATGTTTTGTCCATTTCGAGTGGTACGTAGGTGGGTACTCTACAGGCAGTGCAAAGAACTTCAATGCTAACAACTCTGTTTCCTGGTGTTCTGGAGACATCATAGACCACATGGATGCCTAAGGAGATATGCGTGTTTTAAATATACAGACTCTATCAGGTATTTTGAGTCCATATAAAATGTTTAGAGATGGTTTAAAATGACACACCATTAACTTCTTTCTGTTAAGAATTAGACCTGTATTACTTGAAATCAGGTGTTGGCAACCTTTTAGCGGTGGCTGGCTGAATTACCGCATCTTGGTCGGAAGACAGGATGCTGCCACCACTGCTTCTTCACTGCTGCTGAGTCAGAAGCCCATCAGTTAGTTCCCATCATTACCAAATTGCTGCCAACATCCTAAAATTGTTCAGTGGTCCAGATCTCATCTGTTGGCCATAGGATTCTAACTCCTGTTGTAAATACTTTTCTGCTCTGTCCTTTTGTGCACACACCAGCCTTTTTATTTTACTCAAGAAAGTACACAAGGCAGTGGAACTTGCACCCCTTTGTCTACCCTGTTCCCCATTCCCTTTGTGGCTGCTCCACAAACAAATCATAAATGACCCAATAGAATTATAATATTGAATATAAGACACCTTGCCCTTCTCACTACTTCTTTCTGACCCTTCTGCCTGCCTCCTCCCTCTCTCTTTGATGCACAGAGTAGTCTATGTCCTTTTACAGAATCTGATGAAGGGAGCTTGGTCTAATGAAAGCCTGCATCTCCGATTTAGTTGAGAGCAGGCTGGGGCTGGCCCAAGTCTGCAGCAGCTGCTGGCCCCAGCCTGCTCTTGTCCAGCTGCAGGCAGCTGCCTGCCCCTGCTGCAGCTGCTGGGTTGCGCCATGCCCCAAATGCCCCAGGGCACCTTACCCCAATCCCCCCAGTGCGTCGGAGCCCAGCAGCTGCAAGCAGGCGGTGCCCGCCACTCCCAGGGCTGCAGCAGGGGCAAGCAGAAACCTGCAGCCAGACAAAAGCAGGCTGGGGCCAGTGGCCACTGCAGGCTTACACCAACAGCAGTTCTAGACTCTTCCCGCTGCACTGCCCGTCTCCAGCCTACACCAGGGCATGGTACAGTCCAGCAGCTACAGGGAGCTGGCATAAGCCAGCTGTTCCAAGGACCGCTGCAGCAGGAGCTGGGGTGAGTGGGGACAGGCAGAGCCCCGAGGGGCTCGGGACGTGGTGCAGCCCAGTGGCTGCAGGCAGCTGGTGCTGTCAACTCCCGGAGCTGCTGCAGCCAGGGCTGGGGTGAATGCTGCACCCTGCACTGCCTGGGGCTCTGCTTGTCCACTCATCCCAGCCTGTGCTGGAGCGGCCCCAGGAGCAGCTGACACAAGGAACCTATCCCTATTTCTTACATTATAAAGTAGACTCGCTTTATGCAAATTTGATTTATGTGGTATTCTCCAGGCCTATGCTGATCACGTATATGCAAATTTACTTCGCATATAATGAATTTCGGGTACAAAAGGGTCATCACATAAGAGCAAGCTTGCATAAATTGAACCTGCGTAAATTAAGGGAAACCTGTATAGAAAAAAGAGGGGAAAGAGGAGGCACTAAATCCTTATGAGGCACAAAGCAGCAGCCTCTGCTTTGGAATCCTAGAACTTCTCTACAATCTGTGAGCAGTTGGACACCTGCATGCTGACAGCTCAGTGCTCAGCACAATGGCTGCAGCAAGCAGCAATATGGAGCTCAACAATAGGAAATGCTAACAAAAAGACAACTGTCCAGAGATCAAGAAAGGAGCAGTAATTAGATGCTACACTGTGCTGCTGGGAGGTGTTCCCTCGGTCTCAATTCATGGCCCTTGAACCTTCTTCTGAAGTTAGACACCTCAGCCTTTTCTTTCCGGAGGCAGCTGGAGGAGAGCTCCCGCTGCCCTTCCTTCTTTTTCCAATAGCTCAGTCAGGATTTAAAAAAAAAAAACTCTCTTCAATAAACTTAGTCTGTAGCTGACAAAGCTGTACCTTTATCCTGTCTGGGAAAGCAACCTGAAGCAACCTCCAGGCTGCCAGCTATGAATAAAGGGTGCAGGGAGGAGAGGGCTTTATCTCTTGAAGCTTTTTCACTTTGCCATATGCTATACCTGCTTTTCCCCTACCCTGTGACTGTGCAGAGAAAGGGGGAAAGCTGGTTTCCTGTGCTCACTGGATAGAACAGTCATTGAATCAGAAAATGAAACAAAGCCCCCCTTCCCAGGGAGCGTCCTACTCGCTGCGAAATTTTGGCCAGTGTTTCGAAGCTGTTTCGAGCTCAATACAGCAAAACCAAAATGAAACAAAACCCTTTGAAACAGCTTCAAAACGAAACAAGGGAACTCAAAACGTTTCAAAAGTTTCTAAAGGTTTTGAGTTTTGAAGCCAGGCTTACTGGCTTCAGCGCCGGTAGCGGGGGCCCCGTACAAGCTGATCTGTCCCAGCCCTGCTTGCCCCAGACAGCAGCACCTGGCTCCTGTCAGCCGGCAAGCAAATTGGGGACCTGCTGGCACCTCCAGGAAGGCTGCAGGGGCTGTACTGGAGTCCTCCTGGCGGTGCGTGCCCCCAAACTGCTTGCCAGATGAGAGGAGCTGGGTGTTGCCGCCTAGGGCTGGCAGTAGCACCGATCTTCTCGGAGCTGGTCCCAGGTAGCAGCACCTGGCTTCTCATCTGGCAGGCAGATTGGGGGCTTGCACCCCTGGAAGGCCTCTGGTACAGCCCCTGCAGCACCCCCAGGGGTGCAGGCGAGCCCCTGATCTGCCTGCTGCGTTTTATCTTTCACCATAATAACCTATGGGCAAAACATCAAAGCAGCGTTGAAACAGCAAAACTGTTTCAACGAAATGGAACAATGGTTTCAAAACTTGAAACAAAACACCGTTCTGTCAAAACGGAAGTTGAATCGGCACAGTGCTGTTTCGCAGAGCCCTACTACCTGCTGTCTTGTGATAACTGCCTTTTTCTTTCTGGCTCAATGAATAGTTGTCATTCATGCCAAGTGAAGCGGTTTCAATGGGGAAGAGACTTTTGACATGTTTCCTGCTTGGAGAATTGGCATAAGTGCGTCTGAAAACGCACAGGAAAGACTTAATCCCAGGTCCCCTGCATCCTGGGGAGCACTCTAACCACTAAATGGTTGGGCAAAAATGGAGGGGTGTAGGAGAAGCCTGATACATTTAGCCTGCTTGAAGAAAACCTGCCCTACTGAGACCTTCAAGTGACAAATTTGTAGATCCCAGTGGGGCTTAGGCATCAGCTACACACTGAGCTGTTCTGTTCTGTCAAAACTGAGGCGCATCTTAGCATAGCCAGAAGCAGAATTTTAGGTGTCTGGGGAACTCAACTGACAAAAAACACAGGAAAGCCTATGGACTTTGGGGACCTCCAGGGTTGGGAAACAGTTGGGCAGGGGCTTTGACCATTGCATGGGTTTCAGGGGCTTAAGTCCTGTTGTGTATGTAACAAAAAAGAAAAACAGCTTGGCCAGATGGCCTTTTATTCAATGCTTCCATATAGTCTGCTGTACAGCAGTTTAAGGAACAATGGCACAGCACTAGTTGCAATTAATTCTTAATGCATTATAACTCACAACCAGACACCACAACCTAATGAAGGACTAAAAGCAGGACAGAATAGCCCTTGGCATCCCTGCAAACTCATCCTTCAGTTATCAGTCTTGTAGACAGAACACCCCCTACCTTACTCAGAGCCCATACCCTGATTGATTGCAACTTGGAATAGTCATACCACCCTGTGTGGTGAAGATTCAGGTGCAGCTTTGCTCCCGTGCATGCCTAAATTAATTAATTGAACCCACACAAACTGCACAGGGTCAGCATGAAGGAGCATGCATTTTCAGACTACTCTGGTTGCTGGCTGTGGCAGTGCTTTAGATGCCTAAATAGTAACATGGCAACATGTAGAAAGAGTGAGAACATACGGAAGGTAACTCACCCCCAACCTGCAGCAGCTCACCGGTTCCTCTTCCATATCTGTGCACACTGTGCTCAAATGCTTCCTTCAGTGTGCACCCTTTTAACACGAGCAGATCAAAAGTCATTCCAAATGGCAACACAGCCAATAGATCCTCCATAGTAATAGTGCCTGAGTGGGATAAGATTTAACGTGAATCAATAGATATTCTTCTCACACCCAGATATCTTATAAAAATGGCTTCAGATCCCTGAGTATTGTGCTATTTGACCATGGATCAGCACATGCATCATTAGAAGCACTGCAAGGGGCAGATTAAGAACACGGCCATTATCCTACTTCTCCATGCTGAGGGCTGATTATGTCTTCCCTTGAAGTACCTTGTGTCAGAGAGGACACTATGTCAAATGGACTTGGGGTGTAATCCAATATCGTGACTTCTATTCCAAGATTTTATATTCTATAGTCCTTTCCACCACTTATACAGCTACTGGTTCACAGTGCATAGAGCAGGAAATGTGATTTCTTGATGCAATTCTCTTTACAGTCTTTTCCTGTGCTTGGATATTTTCAAAGCCACTGCAGTCTTCTGCTAAGTTTCTACATTATTTTGTCTAAAATTAACTTGTAGCCTTGGGATTTTGTTTTTCTAGCAACTTGTAAAGATGTTTCATGCTCAACAAGCACTTTTTCTTTGGTGTGGCAACAGATATCAACTTTCAGATGTATGAGTCACTGTCTGGGGTCATTACTAGGACTGTTCCATCTACCCTATCTGCACTTGTAGATATTGCAACTTTCAATTAAATGCTGTGCTGTGTTTTGGGCACCACATTCACACAGGGGACTGTCCAAGCTGTTCATCTTGTAAAGTGTTGTTTTGAAGCATCCATATCTAGATCAGTCTATTCAGCTTGACCCGTACTTCTCTGTCAAGGTTGTGCCCAGTAGGGGACTCATTTGATGTTGGTATAAAATGCTGCAGGAATAGGTCTGACTTCCCAGTGGTTGGCCCAATCTGTTGTTACCCGTGGGTTTGGTTCAGCATCCCCAATCTCTTCCAAGAGCTTGTGGGCTTCACGTACAAATGGTTTACAACTTTTGTGCCTCTTAAGCCTCCATCAGTTTGGGTCTTAAGTTAATAGATGATGGAGCAGGTGATTTCATCATCTCTTGCCTCTATTGCTAGTATTGCTAGTTAGGCTCTGTCATCTTGTACTCTTGGGCATTAGACCAAGTGATATGGGGAGTACAGCTGTGCAAGTATAAGTTGTGCAACCTTTTGAGTCTCTGCACATTAAGTATAGTGTTGAGCTTTTTAGTGTGACAACTTCTGGACCATACAGAAGCAAAATATTCTGCTGGGTCATATATCATTACAAGTGCAGTGGTTCTGAGCACTTTGAAGTTGGCACCTCATGTCATCCTGGCTAAACATCTCCAAGCAGCTACCTGTGCTGAGACTTTACTGCTGGCCTTCTGGATATGATGTTTATAGGTGAGGGAACAGTTTAATGCATCTCCTAGGTAGGCTGAGGTATGCTCATGCTCAACAAGCTGAAAGTTTACAATATGAATAGAAAAAGTCACTAGAAAAGCAACTGGTACTTGTGAAGTTCAGTCAGTGTTTCATTTATGTTGCTTGCTTGCAGAGAAGGTGTGGAGAACAAAGGCTTAGGAGCTTTCCAGTAGTTCGTGCACTCTGGTCATATGCATAGCTTAGTCCTCACTCCTCCAAACCAGCAGATCAGAGGATGCCAAGGCTGAGATCTGAAAGTTATTAGAGCTCCACGCTTTCCACAGTCCCTTATTATGTGACAAAGCACAGCAGCCAGAGCTGCATCATGTAACCATTTAACACGAGAAGGGAAGAACTCCTTATCCACCTGTGCTGAGCAGACTGAGGACCAGGCAAGACTAGTACTCACATGGGCACCAGCATGAGTGCAGCTGCACCAGCCTCATGCCAAGGACATAGTTTGACCGTAAGCTCTTTTAAGCCTTTACCTGACCCAATTTCATGTAGTGATACAATCCTAATTTGCCATTAATACCCCTGTTATGTGTTTAAACTCATCTGGCCTGGTGAGCTGGATGTGGTTACTAGGCAAGCCTGCAGATCCTGTGCTACGTGCAGCGCCCACGGTGCGGAATCTAGCCTGCACACACTGGCCCTGCACTGGAGCTTGCACTGTATGTGGCATGCGGGAGGTACTGGCCTCACATGCTGCACAGGTACAGGAGCGAGCACAGGGCATGTGCTACATGTAGTGCCCCACTGACTCAGTACTTTTGGAAGTACTAAAGCACCGTGTAGTAACCACTGTACTGTGCCATGCATGCCATGCATGGTTAGATTTTGCCACTATGTTGCCCTAGCAGTGTGCTATACTGGGGGAGTATGCCACTATGGTGATTTAACTGCCAGTCACGTGTAGGCGCATGTGATCACTATATAATCATAGTGCACTGTATGGCAATGTAGTGCTTTCCTACATCACCCTGGCAAAATGTATAGACGTGCCCATAGTGTATTTCAGTGATGAAATATGTGAGTGGTTTGGGTCAAGATGGAGATGCTGAGGGACTTTTAACAGGAAACTTAAATTGAAGGCTTCTCAGTGTTCTCTGTTTATGGATCCTGCCCAAATGTTCTCTCCTATTTACATAGCCTTCACAAAATCACAAGGCAGTCTTGCTAATTTTGGCCTATGTTGCTTCTCCTACTGGCTTACAAAATATAGAACATAGTAGGGGTTGAAAGAAAAAGCTTCTGTAGTTCCAAGACTGCCAGGCAGCAAAATATAAGCAAAGCTGGCCAGGCTGTCATAATCAAAGCAGTCTCCCAGGTTTTTTAATTTACAAGAGACAGCACCGGCTCCCCAGACAGCCTTGCCTCTGCTCCTTTGCTGTTACACCTCCTGTAAAGCACACCCAGAAATTGGCTCCAAAAGCAGCTCTCTGAGACTATTATTTGGGTGAATCTTGCAAACACATCTTTGTATTTCATCTTTAGCTTGGCTTTTGGTTCTGTACGACCAAGAGAAACTCCTGCCATAAGCAGAAGTTAAACATTTGTGTAAGTGTCTGCACAATCAGGGCTACTGTCATTAACTTGGGAGCACAGGTGTCAGAAGGCTGGGGCTAATCCCCACACCAAATGTGGGGTAGAGGGTAGGGCCACAGAGCCACAGGTCATGGGCTCCAGGCTACTGCAGTGGGGGTGGGGGTGTGGGGAGAGGTGTGCACACTCAGATAAGCAGTCAGGATCACAGCCCTGGCATGTGGGTTACTGCCCAGCATGGCAGACAGGAAAGTCTCAGTCTACGCTGAAGGGGAAGGGTGGGGGGAAGGGGGAGAAGCATGAAATGTTTAAGAAGAGAAAAGCACTTTTTAGGTTGAAAAAAATCAGCGCAAGAACAACTGGATAAAAACTG